ATCTTTTGTGCAGCCAGGGAAAAATTGTAGAGTGAGTAGTAACAGGGACAGGCTGCCTTTTGTCATGGCCATGTGGCAATGCTGGTGTGGAATCAGTTCCTTGGTGGGAACAGTTTTACCCTGCACTCCATTGCATCACGAGTAAATAAGTTGGCACTGAGAGGGACAATGTTCTCTTGTTTTGGAGACTTTGCTAAGACTGGTTTCCTGTGTGTTGTAGAGAGCATATGCTTCAACACCTGATACTTACAAAAATTGATATTAAGAGGCTTGTTTAGATGCACTGTATTTATTGCTTTTTTTAGTTAAGCCTGGATTGGAAAGGCACTTTTATGCTGTCACTTTTCCCTGAGGTTCTCATTGGGGGTCTCAGGTTAAATGCAGGAGGCAAATGTACAGTTTACCTGTGAGAAGTCAGTAGAGCTGCCCTGTGGTGTGGTGGGGTGACCCTGGCTGGATGCCATATGCCCACCAAAGCTGCTCTCACTCCCCTCCTCAGGTGGACAAGGGAGAGAAAATATAATGAAAGCTCAGGAGCTGAAATAAGAATGAGGAGATGTCACTCATTGATTGCCATTATGGGCCAAGTAGACTTCACTTGGGGATATTAATTGAATTTACCACCAATCAAAATCAGAGCAGGTTAATGAGAAGTAAAGCAAGTCTTACAAACACCTCCCTCCTTCCCAGGCTCTCCCTCCTCCCCCCCAGTGCTGTGGGGAGATGGGAATGGGGGCTGTGGTCAGTTCATCACATGTTTCTGCTGCTGCTTCCTTCTCAGGGAGAGGAGTCCTTCCCCTGCTCCAACGTGGGGTCCCTCCCACGGGAGACAGTCTTCCATGAACTTCTCCAGCAGGAGTCCTTCTCACAGGCTACAGTTGTTCACAAACTGTTCCAGCATGGGTCTGTTCCATGAGGTGCAGTTTTTCAGGAACAGACTGAGACTGCTCCAAAGTGGGCAATTTTAAGCAATGTTAATTTTGTTTCTGGGTTGATTTTCTTTCCCTCTCTAATGTGAGCTGCCAAACCCACAGGCATTGGCACCACAGCTAAAAGAACTGCCATAGGTACCAGCAGCACTGCCAAAGCTTTGCAATGGCCCTACTTAGGCTGACACAGGCCTGTGTCCCAGCAGAGGCTGACACATACCAGCTGCTTCATCCCTCACCCATGGGCAATGCAAACCCTGGAAGTCTTATTTTTGCTGATGACTGCAGCTCTGGGGAATCTTTTTGCTGATATGTAGGGTTTTTAGGAGATATTATTAGGTTATTTAAATGAAACTGCCATTGACACGAAAAGCTTAATGCAAAATCAGGGTGACTTCATTGTGTTACCAGAAATACACACTCTGATAAAGCTTGCCTGTAAAAGCCAACGAGGATTAATGCATTGGTAGCATGGTGCTAACACTATAAATTAAAGTAACTTCTGTTAGTTAAGAGAAGGAGGAACCTCCCATCAAGGTCCCACCTTTCCCACCCAAGAGGACAGCACCTGGCCTTGTTCAGTTTGGATTCATTTATGAATGAATACATTAATCACCAGTGACAGAGGCACAACCACTTACAGCACAAACACTTACTTTTTGCTATGTTGGCATGTGTAAACATTCCTTAGCCAAGCTTCCCATCATCCTTGCCTCTGCTCTACGTGGTCATCTTGATCCCAAGAAGCAACAACCTGTATCCAGCACTGAGGGGGAGCTGCCAGGCTGCCTGCTCTGAGTATTCTCCACCAGTCTGCAGCCTACGGGATCCTCTCAGCATCTCAAAATCTGAATGGTTGCAGTGGGCATGGCAGGGCCTTCAGGTCTTGCCACCATCCCTCTGCTGCTAAAGATTCACAAACAGGATTTTCCGAAGTAGCTCAGTGACTTAAAAGCATCAGTTTTTATTGGGTGTCAGTGACAAATGTGCTCCCACAACATTTAGGCCCTTTGAAAGCTCTGTTCTCCAATCATAAGGCAGTCCATAAGCAATCATCTTTAGATCACCTCCTGCCTCAATTAGCAGTAATTAACAAGAACACATATGTCCCTGCATTGCAGAAGTGGCTAAAAATTGCATTGCCCAGAGGAGGCAGCTGCAGGATCAACACAATTCGTCTTCTTTTTGTTCATGAAACTGTTAGGATCTCTCCAAGCCTGTAATCAGTCATCCATTTCTCCCCTTGATATGGCACCTGAGATTCAATATCCCACTTCCTCTTGTTCCTACTTGCTCACCCCAGTAACTGTGCTAACACAAGTCCGGGATGTGGGCACATAAAGACCTGAGCGCCCATTTCATGGCTCTTCCCTGCCATGGTGTGGCATCCCTACGGATGTGGGGATGCAGCACTCAAGCGAGAAGGAAGGGCGGAATGCAGGCCCTTGCCCAGCACAGCAAGGTATCTTGCAGTAGCAAAGGTATCTGTGGTATGAGATGGGTGAGTTTCCTTTTCCACTTCCTTTCTTCGCTTTCTCATTTGCTTGTTTGTTTGCAGAGGGAATCAACAGTGGGACGTCATCGCATGACTCAGAACTGGAGCCCCCAGTGCAGGCAAACAGCACTTTGGGCTTTCATCTGGCTGTGCCCCAGACCAGCCTGGCCTATGAGCTTTGCTGGGGAGTAAAATGGGAACCAGAGGTTTCCTTTTTGAAAAGGCATCGGAGAAGACACGGTACAGCTCAGTCCTAGCTCTTCCAAGAACAAAAATCAGCTGATCATACAATCACAAAACCACAGAATCGTTTGGGTCGGAAGGGACCTTTCAGGATCATCCAGTCCAACCTCCCTGCCACAGACAGGGACATTTTTCATTAGACCAGGCTGCTCAAAACCCCATCCGACCCACCCTTGGACACTTCAGTGATGGGGCATCCACAGCTGTCTCCAGGCAACCTGTTCCAGTGCCTCACCACTTTCACAGTAAAGAATTTCCTCCTTTTATTTAATCTAAATCTACCCACTTAGTTTAAAATCTTTGCCCTTTGTCCTGTTACTACAGGCCCTGGTAAAAAGTCTCTCTTCTTTTTTTTAAGATCCCCTTTGAGTACTGAAAGGCTGCAATAAGGTCTCCCTAGAACCATCTCTTCTCCTAGATGAACAGACCCAACTCTCTCAGTCTTTCTTCACAGGAGAAGTGTTCCAGCCTTCTGATCATTTTCGTGGCCCTCCTCTGGTCCTGCTCCAAGAAATCCATGTCTTGTGCTGGGAGGTCCAGAGCTGAGTGCTGTCCTCTAGGTGGGGTCTCACAGCAGCAGAGTAGAGTGGGAGAGTCACCTCCCTTGGCCTGCTGGTCACACTTCAGATGCAGCCCAGGATATGGTTGGATTTCTGAGCTCTCAGTGCACATTGCTGGGTCACATCCAGTTTTTCATCCACCAGTACTCCCAAGTCCCTCTCCTCCAAGCTGCTCTGAACCCATTCATCCCCAGCCTGTACTGATACTGGGGACTGCCCCGACCCCAATGTAGGACCTTGCACTTGGCCATGTTGAATTTCATGAGGTTCACATGGGCCCACTCCTTCTGAATCAAGTGCACCCTTAGCCTGGTGTCATCTGCAGAATTTCTGGGAGTGGCTCAGAAATAATGACACTGTCTGTGTCATTAAAGGTATTGAACAGTACTGGTCCCAGTAGGGATCCCCGAGGGACACCACTTGTTGACGATCCCCATTTGGACACCAAGCAAGCCATTGACTGTAACTGGATCCCATCCAGCCACTTCGCTATCCATTGACCAGTCCATCCATCAAATCAATCTCTCTCCAAATTAGTGGTAAGAATGTTGTATGGGACCATGTCAAAGTCATTATAGAAGTCTAGGTAGCTGACAGGTAGCTTGCTTCTGGTAAAGTTCAAATGGCTCGTCCTGCCCTGCGATTCCCAAGGACATCAGAGGTCATACCAGCATTTCAGTTTGTGCCTGGCAGGATCCCACTTGCCTGGAGGCTCCCTGCAGGCAGAGGTCCAGCCTCACTGGCTCTGGGCTCTTTCCTGCCGCTGGGAAATGTCAGAGGATCAGCCCACAGCGGGGAAGGAGTTAAGTGCTTGACCAGCTGCTGTCTGTGAGGCACTGAATTCCTTCTCCGTGCAATGCAGCAGCCAGTGTCAGGACAGCTATATTTAGAGAGCTGATAAAGGTTTGGTGCCAACAGTTGTCCTGCCCCTCGATGAAGAAGCTGCAGAGAGAGCAAGAGAGGGCAGCTGATTGCTTTCTTCCCAGTGCCGTTCCCTGCTGTCTTCAGTGGACTCTTTTGCCGTGCCTCCAGCAGGTACCCCCAGTGGAGTCGTCCAGGCACAGGGGGTAAGTTCCCTTTCCTTGGTCCCCTGCCCCGTGGGTGGCAGCCGCTCCTCAGCCCCGCTGGTGGCACAGGGCTGCGATCCTCCTTCCCGAGGCTGGTGCTGGGGCCCTGTGGAGCTGCCGCCGGCTGTTGCGGCACAGTGGGGTGACAGTCCGTGTGTCTGGACACGGGGAAGAGTCGGCTGTGGAGTTTTCACGCTCCTGCCTGAACTACATCCCCGTCACTCTCCCACACCCAGGGCGAGCGCGGCAGCCTCCACACAAAGGAGTGAAGGACAAAGTCCCAGGCCCGAAAGCGCCTTCGGCCTTAAGCTTGAGGAGCGTTTCGTTTTGGGGAGGTCTCATGTTTCTTTGCCCCTGACACTCCTTCCAGCCCAGCTCTGGCTCTGTACAGCTCCTTCCAGCCACCACGTGCGGTCAAGGGGGGGTATAGAGTTTCTGCCCCTCCACCCCTTCCTTCCTGGCCTTCCTGCACCCTTACTCACAGGCAAGCAGGGCACTGGTGCTCGCTGGGCAGCAGCCAGGGAGCTGCGTGAGGCCCTGGGAATGGCAGGCACCCTGGTGGAGGAGCCAGTGTAGGTGCCTCATGGCCAGGGCTCCTCGCAGGGAGCCCCTTCTGCTGTACCCTTCATCCCTGCTGCCCCACAGCCTCTGTAATGGTTCTCCCTCCTGCCCTGCTCCCCGTGCAGCGGATCCTCTGGCCGCCGCCATGGCCAGCGGCAGGGACTCGGACAGTGAGCCGGCGGTGCCGGAGGAGGAGGAGGAGGACGAGGGCCCAGACGTGAAGGCCGTGCAGGCCCATTACCTGCGCAGCCCCTCGCCCAGCCGGTGAGTACAGGACCACTGCCTCGGCCTCCCGGGAGCACGGGGGAGACAGGGCTCCTGTGCTAGTTAATCCCACTGGCAGAGTACGTGCACACAGGGGGGACAAATTGCATTACTGTGGGGTGGTATCATCCCTCTTCCCTGTCTCACTCTGTCATATCCATCCCCATGCTGAAACTTCTGATCCAATTTCAACTCTTCCCAAATCTTTCTGTCCATTATAAGGACTTGTGGATTTTTTAATGTCGATATTAGGCTTTCCCAGCTCCAGAAAGACCAAGGGTCTTCGGATTTGAGTTTGGTTCAGAGCCAACTTTAGCTACAGGCTTCAGGCACTGAACAGGAGGCTGTCACAGCACAAGCAGAAATTGAGTTACCCCAAGCAAAACAAGCATGATTAGATGTGTTTTCTCCTAATACAAGGAAAAATACATCCCTTTGTACTCTTCCTAAAGCAAAATGCTCTGCAGGGCTTTCTGTAGCCTTTGAGATGCTTTAGCTGAAAGCAAGGGGAAGGGATTGAGTTTGAAAAGAACCTGCCCCAGTGGCCCTGAACAAGTAGGAGATTATGAAATGTTTCCTGTTAACTGTGGGACACTGCAGAAAAATCAAGACAGAGTGCTTATTGCATTTAACTGCAAGCATTTCAGAATTGATGAGGAAGATCACTGAGCTAACATAAAGAAAAATTATGTATTCAACTTGGTAAATCCTTCTCCATCTGCTCATCACTCACTCAAAATGAACAGAAGCACCTCTCCGGTTTATTTCCCTTGCCTTGCCTTCCCTGTTCCTTTTTTTCTCCCCTTTTTCTCTCTGTCAATGATAAAAGCAGTGATGAAGTTGATAAGATCTATCCCATCCAGAACAAGGCCCTGGAAGCCTCCAGGATTGGGCTGTGCTGCACCCCTGTGTTTCACAGATGCTCGGGGCAGCCACAGGTAAAATTTGTTGAGGCTGTGGTGGCAGGTTATTACCACTTGTTATGGTTTTATTGAGCTTGGAGGCAACCTTTACAGCAAAAGGAATTGAAGACAGGGCATAGCTACTAATTTGTGTCAGCTCCTGTAAATGAGACTGAGACTCCCCTTGCTCATCTCATAAACTCCTTTGAAGAACTAGAAAAGGATTACTTTCAGTCACGGTTGACAAGTGCTGGAACTCAACTAAATGACCTAGATGAGCCTGTTAAGTGGTTTCCAATGGCTGTGCCCTCTGTTTTGGTTCTGGAGCATGAAAGCAGTTCAGCTCTCCAGACACTGCTGCACCCTGACTGCATATTAATCACCCTTCCTCACCTGCCTTAATTAAACAAAAACAAACACTGTTGAAAGTACTGCAAGTCTGCATGGCCAGAGAGCTTCTGTGATAGCAGCAAACTTGTCCTAATGACCTGTACCATCTATTTGGAAGGAAGTGTAGACGGTGTAGATCAGGGGAAAAGCTCTGTAAAATATTTTGTTGAGATGGTCTAAATGAGAGAAGATGTACTTGGATTGTACAGGTGGACCCAAATGGAAAAATAGTTGTTTTCAAGATTGTGGCCCCTTTTTTGCTTAACAAAAACTTATGTGAATCACACTGTGTGTCAAAGAACTCCCTTCAAAGGTGCTTGTGGGTGTCATAATGGTTTCTGACCTGCAGTTGGACAACACAGATTGACTGAGCTGGTTAGAGCATGGTGGTAATAACACCAAAGTTTGATCCCTGTACAGGTCATTTACTTAACAGTGGGACTCCATGATCCTTGTGGGTCCCTTCCAACTCAGAATATTCTGTGAAATCTGTGAAATACTGTGTGAGTGGAGAGACTGACCACAGATTCATGCTATGAAGTGACCAACGTGCTGAGGGAGAGAGTCACAGGCTTCACTCTCAGTGCTTGCATTGCAGCTTGTGGTAACTCAGAGGATGCTTGTGGGTGATTAGCCAGCAGAGAGAAAACCCAACACCCTGGTGTAATCTGGTGTTTGGAATTGTTCAATAAATTCTAGTTAGGACAATGTTTTTATCTGTCTGTCTAAGTGAGAGCTACTTGTGAGACTACTCCTTGTCATCCATCCCCCTCCGAGTCTCAACCCAGACACTGATCTTCTCCACCTGAAAAACTTCTCCACCAGGCAATTGTTTTGCACTCCCAGTCCATGAAGCTCCTCTCCACGGGACCTGTCTACATCCTGCAAACACTGGATACCAAGGGCATATTTAAAGTCTGTAGTGCCATGCTGGAGAGCAGGGTGGGAATGAGGGGTGGGAGAAGAGCTGGGGCTTCCCTTCTGCAATTAAAAGATCCTCTGTGCTCCAGTTCCCTGCTGCTCCCCTCTGGAATGGGTGCAAAGGGGGTCCTGGGGGTAGGATCCCAGTGGAGGGCATTGCCTAATAGGCAGTGTGGTTGGTTGGCAGGTATTCCATGATATCAGACACTGATACAGAGAGCATCTTCATGGAGCCAATCCATCTGTCATCTGCTGTGGCTGCCAAGCAAATAATCAGTGAAGGTAAGAGGAGCAAGGATAAGAGAGCTGTGTAAGTAATAGAGACCTGAGTTGCACTAGTTTTGCCTTTTGTCATCCAGAGATCCTAAAATGATAAAAAAGCCTTTATGAGAGAACCCCACCTGAGGCAGAGGTGAAAATCACAAAGAAATAACAATTTACAGAAAGGTTTGGTGACTTCCTTTGAAGTTGTGCAATGAATCTGTGGTACAATGAATTATGTACCACAATGGTGAATGTAGTTTGAGTGCTGGTTGCTCACTGCAACAAACTGAATTTAGAATAGAATAGAATAGAATAGAATAGAATAGAATAGAATAGAAGTATTTCAGTTATAAGGGACAAACAGTGATCATCTGAGTTCAGCTATCTAACCAAAAGTTAAAGCATATTATTAAGGGCATTGTTTTACTCCTCTTAAACACTGACAGGGCTGGGGCATGAACCATCTCTCTAGAAAGCCTGTTCCAGTGTTTGACCTCCCTCTCTGTGAAGAAATGCATCCCAGTGTCCAATCTTGACCTCCCCAGTGCAGCTTTGAACCCTTCCCACCTGTCTGATCACTGGATACCAGGAAGAAGAGCTCAGCAGCTCCCTCTCTACTTCCCCTCTTCAGGGAGGTGTAGAGAGCAGCTGCATTCTTCTGGGGCTGGGATAAGGGTGCCCTTAACTCCCAGGCCTTTGGCCAGTGTGGGTCTCTGGACTGAGAGGGCAGTGCCATGTGCTCTTCCCATAAGCAGGTGCTGCACACATTGCAGACAGAACAGTGTGATGGTTCTGGGGGGAAAAAGTAAGTCAGAAGGCCTGTCCCAGACACAATTAATGACAGGTCATATGTTTGCGTTGTTTTTACATGCTTTGAGTTACAGTGTCAGTTTATTCCAGAACTGAAGACAAAGGAGGTCAGGGTAGATTCAGTGTGTCCCAGGATGTTGGAGTCTGCGCAGCAGCTGATGGTGGAAGACCTGTACAACCGAGTTAAGGAAAAGATTGATGACACCAGCTTGTTTAACACGCCGTGTGTGATGGACTTGCAGAGGGCACTCGTGAAGGACAGGCTGGAGACCCCCAGGGATGCTGTGGATGAAGTCTGGCCTAATGTCTTCATAGCAGAAAAGTGAGTGTTGGCTTTTGCCTCGAGTTGCGTGAGATTCCCAGTGAAGGGTCAAATGGAACCATCGAAGGCATAACATGTATTACATGTGTCTAATACCTTTCATCCCTAGAGAGCCCCAAAGTGTTTTTCAGACTGTGCTCATAGAAATCTCTATGCACTGAAAAGTAAATACTTCTGGAATAGAATCAGCAGCTTTCCTGTGCTATTTTGACGCTTCAGCAGTTTAGGAGAGGAGAAGGCAAATGAGCCCAAATTCCACTCTTCTGATTGGAATTTGGCCCTGAAATTGGAACTGAAGTCTTTATTATGTCAAAGAGAGTTAAAAAAGAAATGCCATAGCACGTGTCAAGTGGAGATGATTAGGACTTCTGTACCGTGGTTCAGCTGTCCGAGACACCTGTGTTAGTGACCAGACAGAATTAGAAGTGGATATAATGTAAAGCATCAGTTATGGAGGGATAAAAGTGGATAAATAAGTACACAGCCTGAACCCAGGATGGCAGCATGAGTTTCAAATCAAGCTGTAGTGGAAATGGAGCATATGGCTCTACAGGTGAATGCAGGTTTCTCATTGTCTTTTTCCAGTGAGTACTGGAAAGAAATACCTGTAGGACTCTCACAGGACATTAAGGTCTGAGTGGAGCCACATGTTGGATGAGTAACACGGATGGGGAGTTCTGTAGACTTTGTAGCAGGCATCTCCTCTCCTACCCACCAAGGGAGCACTGGTACCTCACATCTCTTTTTCTTTCTTGAAGAAGCGTCGCAGTGAACAAAAGCCGTTTGAAGAGACTGGGCATCACACACGTCTTGAATGCAGCTCATGGTACAGGGGTCTACACAGGACCAAGCTTCTACAACGGTCTCAATATCCAGTACCTGGGCATTGAGGTGGATGATTTCCCAGATATGGATATCTCCAAACACTTCCGCCCGGCTGCGGAGTTCCTTGACGAAGCACTGCTGACTTACAGGGGTAAGGGGAGAAGGTTGCAGTGGTTCCAAAATGCTTGGGAATTATGGGTGGAAGTGTTACTCTGATAAACAGCTGGTGCCACGTTTGCAGTGGGGTAGAAAGAAGGCAGAGCCTTCATTCCCTGCATGCAGCACCAGTGACCACTTGTTCCCCATCCTGCCGTGCCTCATTCAAAACAGGAGGGAGCAAACTAGTAAGGGGAGGGAGCCCAACAGCTCCTGCTGGAAGCCCTGTGTCTTCAAACTCAAAGTGGCTGCAAGTCACCTCCCTCAGCTGCTTTGAAAGAACCCTAATACAGCAAAGAGCAGAAGTCCTGCTCTGATACATATTTTTTAATATTGATGTAATACTATATATATATAGTTGTATTTCTGTACCCTGCAAGCTTCAGTTTTGCCATGATGCAAAAACCAGGCTGATTTACTAGAACAATCCAAACAGCTGAGCTGAACCTTTGTATGTCTGTCTAATTTGCTGGACTCCAACTCCAGGGCAGCTGTTATTCTGTGGACCTCCGGTGCACACTGGTCATTCTGCTGCAGCTTCAGTGGACAGTTAGAAATACCTTTATGCAGTTTAATATGGAAATGAACACCATGATCAGTGATATTACTGATATTATTTATATATTTAGTCAATTAATTTAATTACTGTAGAGAGACTGAACAGATTACCTCCCAGCAGAAGTGACAGTGAGACAAGTTTTGTTAGCACGCAAGGAAAGCTGAGACAGATTTAACAGCTCAGCACCACGAGGTGGGACACCACCTATCTGTGTTCTTCCTCACAACTCCCATTACTACCCTTGGCATAGTCCAGGTGCTTACTGCTGCTGCCATTCATCGACCCTTCAACTCACTACCCAGCAAAAACGACAGCCCAGCAGGGGAGAGAAGGTTTTCCCCTGGGCTGGTGATCCGAACTGGCTCGTTAAAGGGCCAGCAGCAGAGTAGCAGAACCGACACGGGAAAGGGTGCACCGAGGCAGAGGAGCCTTGAAAGGAAAGAGAGGAAGGAGATCTCCCCCTGTCGGTGAACTGTTAGATTGGCTTTACTGCCTGGTAAAGTACTTGGAAGGCAACCAAGACTTTTGGTGCTAAGGAAGGCATAAAAGACATTTCAGGATTGTAGGAAGAGGTTCATTAGGTAAACACTTGGGGTAACATAGCAGCAGTCAGAAAGGTGGTGTTTAAACTGGCTCCGTGAAGTTTCAGTGCAAACAATTTGAATAAGGTGGGGTTTATCACACATTTAGAAACAGTAATTTTAGTTATTTGTAAGTTGGCAAAGCCTCATTTACACTCTTCATATTTCCAAGCTTTTCTTTAGCCGTAATTTGCTATAAAAGTAACGTTTTTCGGTGTCAAAGTGTGGTTTTCTGCAAGAGGTAGTAAATGCCATGAAATAAAGCAGATCTTCAGTTTTCATTCTTGCTCTTACTGTTACAGGATAGTGGGTCCCAGTAGTTTGAAGCAGCTGTTTCAGTTTGTCAGAGTCAAAATCAGCTCTTTCCTGCCAGTTGCTTGGTTCTCCTCTTCTAAGATATACTCTGACTTTGGCTTCCTACATGTAACCATCTGAGGGTACCTTGCCAAACTGATCTGGATTCTGGCAAAAAACCAATCAAATTAATATAAAATTGTATTTAAGCCCCATAATGTGCCTTATGAAAAACTAAATTATTCTCTTATCTTCCCAATACCTTCCTGGAGGCTAATGCTAATATCTCCCTTTTTACATATTGAGAAACAAGCTTGGAAGGCTTTAATGTCTGACCCTATATCAGGCAGCAAGTCAAGAACACTGTATTGCTTGTCTTTCTAATAGCTGTTATAAGCTTTTTGACTATTTGAGTAAGTGAAGTGTGTAGGCAAAACTACAAATATTATTTAGCTTGTTTTGAAATGTGCCTGCCCACAGCTTTTGAAACTAATGTGCTTTTTATTCATATTTTATTAAGGTAAAGCTATGAAATATTTAGTATTGGTTTCAGTCACTAAAACATATAATCTGTCTAATTTTTAACACCATTCAGAGAATGCTTTTGTGCTCCATATCAGAGCGTATGTACCACGTATCTGTGACTGGAAACAGCTGAACACTTTCCTGTTTGACATCTGTAGGCAGAGTCCTGGTCAGCAGTGAGATGGGCATCAGTCGCTCCGCCGTGCTGGTGGCTGCCTACCTGATGATCTACCACCACATGACCGTTCTGGAGGCTCTGATGACTCTGAGGAAGAAACGAGCCATTTACCCCAACGACGGCTTCCTGAAACAGCTGCGGGAGCTCAACGAGCAGCTGCTGGAGGAGCGGGAGCTGGAGAACTCTGGAGACGAAGAAGTGACTCCTAGTCAAAGTCCTGTGGCCCGTGCAGGGACTTCTTCCCGTTTGTCTGGAGCTGGGGACGCAGAGAGCGTCGTGGGAGCCCGAGCCCACTCCATCACAGTGGAAGAGGAGGACACAAGCAGCATGCTGGGTAGTTTTATGAGCTCTTCGTCAGTGTCAAAAACCAGCTGGGTTTCCAAACGCTCCACCCTGATCAGCGAGGAGGAAGAGGAACAGCTGTATGAGGAATGGAGGAAGAAACAAGGCCTGTCTGCAAAGGAACCAGGAGTTAACCATGAAAGAAGAGCATCTCCAAAGCATCTGGGTCGGGAAGAGGAACAGTCTGATGAGGATGTGGAACAGAGGATCCATGACTGGCAGCGCAGAAATGAGAAATACCAAATGGAGGGTGCAGCCAGGGAGGAGGATGGTGATTCCAGCATGGGAGGAAGACCTTACCCACCAGGTGAATTCAGTGATGTTGAGAGTGTGAGCAGTTTTGAGATCCGAACCCTGAAAAAGCAGCTGGAAGCCAGTAGCTTTAGCAGGATGAGGAGGAGTCGCACAGACTCTGTGTCTTCTGAGAGCACCTGGGACATGTGGAATCAGAGACTTCTGGAGATAGAGAAGGAAGCTGCTCAGAGATACCATTCCAAGAATAAAAATTGTGGGGAAATGGGAAGAAAGGAGAGGGATGTGGATGAGGAGAGCATGCTTTCAGACAGTAGCTCCTTCTACAATTTCTGCCAAAAGAACAAAGACAAGTTGACTCCTCTAGAAAGGTGGAAGGTCAAGAGGATCCAGTTTGGCTTTCACAAGAAGGATTTAGAACCATCATCATCAGCTGCACCATCTCCAGCAGAAGATGGCAACCAGGCAGGTGAGGAGGGAGCAGAAGGGAAGAATTTGTCAGATATTGACCTGACTGCTTACCAGGCTTGGAAAATGAAGCGGCAGAAGAAGGTGGGCAGTGAAAGCAGCAAGGAGGAATTTGTGGAATTTGCCAAAACCGAGGATTCTGCTTCAGCTAAAAAGAGGCAGAGGCGTGTAGAGCTCCTCGAACGTTCAAAGAAAATTTTAGAGGAAAGCCAATCCATGTGCAGCTGGGAGACAGACAGCACGATGAGTGGGAGTATCCCCCTGTCGGCTTTCTGGCCCTCGGCGCCTTCTGCAGATGGTGCCGAGGATGCAGCTTCTGCCCTGAGCATGCAGACAAATCATTCATCTCTGTCACGGACCAGGAGCAGCATGGGAGCAACGCAGCCTCAGATGCCGAGCGTACCCCTTCCCAACCTCCCGGTTGGTCCAGGTGACACCATATCCATGGCAAGCATCCAGAACTGGATCGCTAACGTGGTCAGCGAAACCATCGCTCAGAAGCAAAACGAGATCCTGATGCTGTCCCGTCCGTCGTCCGCGATGGCCTCCCTGTCAGGAGACCTGGGCAGGCGAGGAGATGATGACAGGGTTTCTCTGCTCAGTGCTCAGAGCGGCTCATCTGTGGCTGCCTCTCAGCTGCGCCAGCAGGAGCTGCGCCGGGCCGAGTCTCAGTCTGTCCTGTCCTGCAACACCTCCGTGAGCGCAAGGACAGAAGGGACTGCTTCAAACATGAAGACAACACAAACGAGCAAGCCACTGTACAGCCTCTTTGCTGATGATGTTGACCTCAAGAAACTCAGGAGGAAGGAGAAGGAGATGCAAATGGAAATGAGAGAAAAAATGTCAGATTATCAAATTGAAAAGGTGATCAGAGACAATAAACGCAGCACTTTATTTAAGAAAAAGGTGACCAAAGGAGAGGAAAATGAAAGGGAAAATGGCACAGAGAGTACAACAAACAGCCATGGGCGTCCCTTGCAAGCAGATTTTGACAGAACTGGTACAGTCTTCGATCTGTCCGGTCAGCCTGCAAACTCAGGTGTACCAGAGTCAGAAATAGAGACTGATATTAGCAAGTGGCTCAATGGCCTGAAAGCAGAGAGAGAACCACCATCTTATTATGAACAAACTGAGAAAGCTAGAGAGAAATATAGCAGATCATCCAAAGTTAGACAGATGGATTCTGAGACATCCAGTTACAGATTCTGTAGGTCCCAAAGAGAAGAGGTAGACAGCTGTTCTTCCTACGAGTCGAAAGGAGATTCACTGAGAACCACGTCAAGATTTTCCTCTGCTTCTGCGAAAGAGGACAAAAAGATGTACAAGTTCACAAGGTCGAGGGTCAGTGAGACAAGTTCCAGAGAAAACAGCCCAGAGCTGCATGTTTTCAGCCGATCTCCTGAGCCGCCCTTTGGCTCTGAATCCCCTGAAGCGTCTACACAGAGCCGAGTCAGATCCCATCATGTGGAGGCGTGTGAAGAGGAGGCCAGGTCAGACGTGTCAGAATTTGGGGCAAAGAGAAAGTTCACCCAGAGCTTTTCGAAGTCCGAAGAGGATGGAAAGAAGGAGGCAAAAGTGGAGCAAAGTGAAGAAAGGTTTGCATCTAGGCAGCGCTCTCAGTACAGGCGAAGCACACGTAAAGAGGAGGAAGAAGAGATGGATGATGATGCCATTATTGCTGCTTGGAGAAGCCGACTGGAAGAAACCACAGCAAAGCTCCAGCGGAGAAGGGAAGAGTGACCAAGATCAGACTACAGGAGCACAAGCAGAGCCAGAGTCCCTGAATCACTCACTCATCATTATATTTTTGATAATCCTTTGTGGTTTGTAGGGCATTTCCTGCAGATAGTTCTCTTCTTAATCAAAAGCGATGAAGGGAAGAGGTCAAGTTCTGCAAGTGTTTGTGGCTTGTCAGAAAGAAGATGCTAGAATTAAATGATCAATGTAGGTAGGAACACAATGTTAGAAGCCATTAGGAGCCAGACAATGTTTCAGCAGCAAAAGCAAGTAACGGTGGCACCTCAAGTCAAAAGACCAATCACATCCCGTTTTGGTTATTTCAATTTCCTAGTGTTGTTAAAAACTGGACATATTTTTTTCTCGGATCTTTTTGATCATAAGTGGAAGAAGCCAACAGCCTTTTCTAGGAACTTGAAGAATGTTTCTCTCTTAATCAGCTTTACTTTATACCACTGAGAAGATATTACCAGGTAGGCTCCATTTTCTGCACCAGCCTTATGAATGTCTACAGAAATAAGACAGTTCGGGGAAATACATGTTCTGTTTTACTTTGCTAAGTAGCAGAAGCAAAGTAAAATACTAGGAAAAAGAAGATGCCTCCTTTTTAGAAGTTCAATGCAGTAATGAATGTATTCCTGTGGTACCAGATTTTCTATTTTCTATTAGATAGAGTCATCTCTGCTCCATTATGGTTGGTTCCTGCTAATAACTTTGGGTCAACAAAGGACAAATGCAGCAATATTAACAGCCATCTGAAAATCATGTTTTGATGTAGTTAAAGAGATGGGGTTGGGGCTAGGATTAGTGTTAGGTTAGGCTGGGTTTCTCAGTACTGACTTCACTTTGGTTTATGTATGCAGCTCAGCTAAGTCCGTGCTTTCGTGTTCGTAGTCAGATTGTCATGTTTTAATTTTCAGCATGATTGCCTTAAAAGAGAAGAGTGGTACACAAACTGACCTCGAAATAAAATTGTATACAACTGGAGCATGGGTATAAGGCAGCATGCACCAGCTGTGTGCCTGTGCAGGTGGTAGCTCGATTTAAGAGGTGGTAGGTCTGGCTGGCACGTTCAGTTAACGTGTATCCTGAGCCACAGGGTACACTTTTCAGAGGGATAGGAGGAAGCACAGTCTCCACGTTAACTGAGTGTACCAGGTTAGGAGCCTGAGGTCCTTCCATGCCCTGCAGAGCCTGGTGAGCTTGTGTGATCCACCAGACCTGCCACAACATCCCCTGTGTGGCTTGTGTGACAACGTGTCTGTGACGCACCAAAGCACCCAAGTTTCTGTCACCAGTCAACGTCCTCCACCTCTCTCTTGTAAACACATAGGCCAGTTTCTACTGACTTTGACTCTGGAATTATCTGTTCCCTCCTCTGTACAGACTGTATTTTGAAACAACAAAGCCCTCTGGCAGAGCTGAATATAAAACGACAATGGAGGGATGATGCAGTAGTGCTCTCTCACAGGAAGTTTTTCTTTTTCTTGTAATCTCCTCTCTCTCCCACTGTGATGCTTAGAGCTCACTATTACTATTATGCTAGTCCCTCTCCCTATTTTAATTGTGTAATACAGACAGCAAGCTCCACAGGGCAAGGGCCTGCTCTTTGTCCCTGTCTGTGTGACGCTGCCGCACATCAGCAACGCTATCTAAATAATGGTTACTGATAACAAAATGCAACTGGCAATCTTCCTAAACTTAGAATCATTTCTCTCAACTATAACTCACTGATTAGACATTATCCCTGCTTCTCTGAAGATAAAGATGATTCTTTCTGACAGCCAGGACTGGGGTAAATGATAGCTACTTATTGTCAGGTAAATGGAGCCTCAGAATCAGGTGATTGAACAGTAACAGTTGTAGAAAAATAAGAGAAAGAACACGTTTTAGTTGTGTGGGTTGCTTTCTTGGTTTTGTTTTTTTTTTTTTAGTAAACTCAGATTACATTTTGAAGTGCATAAGAGGCATGGTCTTGTTAATGTTTCAGGCACGCAGAGATGCTCTGAGGTTTATAATGCACTTCTACTACAATATAATATATAATACAACGCATCCCTTGTTTCTGCATACCTCTGTGAGTTGTTATTTTTTAAAGTAGTGGAATTCCAGGCCTTGATCCACACTCTGAGATTTTATATTAAATTTCTGGAATTTGTGTTAGGATAGGCGCTTTCCTCTTCATCCCTGGTAAAGTTGCTCCGTGGAAAACGGCCCTGCATAGATGTATTTGGAGCTTGCTTTCATTTCAGTCTAGAAAAGGTCTTAAATTTCGATGGATCAAAGTGGAAGTGTGCCTTCAGTACCTTCTGGCACTGAATTTACTTTTTTATCAAAGGCTGATTCCCTCTGAAAAATCCCTCTCCCTGTTCCTGTGCCTGGCTGTTCCCAGCAGACAAGCCTGTCCTCTGCAGTACTGTAGGGGGCATCTCGCGCTGTAAAAGAGGAGCAGTGGATGATGTGGTAATTGGTTTCATTTTGCACTGTACAGCACGGCCTTTGTTTGGGCAGCATTTTGATTTAAACACTAATCTAGGTCTGCTGCACAAATAAATTATTCAAGACCGAGGGGCAGAATATGGTTCTATAACAAGTCTGAGCCACACCGTCCTGATAGCGAGTTTTGACCCTTGTGAGAAAGGGTTAAGTGGGTTCTGCTGACTCATTGAGGTAGGTGGCTTATTAGTTCACTTGTGTAAAAGGGAGATAAAAATGGTTTGCTGGGGAGAGGCCATCTAAGATGCTGGCTGAGCAGTCATGAGGGAGAAGCCTTAGAAATAGCTGAACTTTATTTTCTTATTGCTTATATCCTTGTTAATAAAGCCAAACCCCCAAAGCAATAAGGGGGTGGGGATCATTTTGGACTCCATGCAGTATACGGCCAGTGCTTGAAAGCGAGATGGGAAAGGCTCCAGCTCACAGGTATAAATTACATGAAACACTGACATAAAGACCTTGCATGGTGAAAATATTAAAGCATTCAGTCATAAGACCAATAACCAGGAGAGACAGAAATGGAGAGGTTGAAGGCAGGCTAGAAAGTCAGGTTTTAAGATGAGAATTTAGAAGGAGATAAGGAATTGCAGAAAGGGGAGAGGTCTGCACAGATTGTTTCAGGTGACCAGAGCTGCAGAGTGAATGGTTTTTCAGCAATGACACCAGTCTGACACTAGATTAAAAGAGTAAATAAGTACCCAAATTCATCTAGGAGGGATTTTTCAGCAAAGATGCGCTGGGACTGATATTTTTGCTCAGACTCAATTTGCTGCTGTAGGAAGGAGGGCGTTTTTTTGGCACTGTATAGTGGAAGGTGAAAGTGCAAGGAGCATCCATACGGTCAGTTAAGAATATAAACACAGGAACATCAGAAAGGCTGTATGGGGTCAGACCAGAGGTCCACCTGGCTCAATATCCTGTCTCTGGCAGAGAACAACAGCGAATACCTAGGGAAGAATATAAGAGCAGTGATATAAGTGATATTTCCCCAGCATGGTCTTCCAGCTTCTAATAATTTGCAACTCAAGGACTTCCTGAGCCAGGTGTGATATTCTTGTATTTAATAGCCCTTCATAGATTTTCCTTGTATGGAGGTGCCTAGTAATTTTTGAGTTATAGCCATAATAGCCTTGTACCCACTAACCTCTGTAATCTCCTGTCGCAAGAAGTCCCACAAGTTACTCTACATGGAATGCTAAGCCATCTCCTTTTTTTCTGTTCTGAACCTTCTGCCCACTAGCCTTTAATGGCAATATAGTATCTGTTTAGTATCTACATGTGCCATGAGATTTTACCCCCTCTCTGTCATTAAATCCCATCCTTAGCTCTCTGGTTCTCAGCCAGTTACTCATTCCTCATACAGGGGCTGCTCCATGTCTCTCATTATCCTGGCCATTCTTCTCCAAACCCTTTCTAGTTCTTCTTTGTCATGCTTGAGATGAGGGACCAAATCCTCACACAGTATCCAGGGTGCAGGTGTGGGAGGGATTAATCCTAGGGCATAATGACCTTCTTTTTTTCTGTTCTCTGTTCCTTCCCTATTAACTCCTAACAGTTTGCATGTTTCTTTGGCTGTTGCTGGGCACCACAGTGATATTTTCATAGAACTCCTTATTATATACACAAAATCTTATTGTTGGATGGCAATGGTCAGCTCCAAGATCATCATTTTTTGTGTCAGGTCTTCTTACATGTAAAGCTTTACATTTATTAGCCCTGAATTTCATCTGCCATCTTAGTGCTCAGTCTCTCAGTCTCATTAAGTCCTTCTGCATTTTCCCACAGCCACCCTCTTATTTCCACTACTCTGTTTCCTTAATGTCCTTTGAGTGGTGTAGAAACTCAGAGGATATGGGAAGCAAAGAAGTTAAGGAGGGATAGATGAGAGAGAAACCCATTTGATGCTGGTCTGCTTGAAGTAAGAAATAAGAAAGTGATGAAAGCTGGAGAGCAAGGAGATAAATGTTCAAAAAGAGATCTGAAGACAATAGGCAAATTGAGAAGGGGACCCACACTGGATGGAGACAGGAAGATGTAAGCCAGAAAGGCTAAAGCGAAATATTAATTTGTTTAGATGTATAAAAATCCAGGGAAAGGTTATGAGGCAATCTCTGTGGGAAGGATGGAGATTTAAAGATTTCTCACAGGTCTGTGAGAAATGCGAAGAGGATTGGGAGAAATGGCAAGGGTGAGAGACATTAGTGGGACACAGATGATAAAATGACATCTGTGCTGGATTGGGACTTCAGTGTAGCAGGAGCAAGTTTGGCAGGAAGTGGAAATGTGCCAGAAACACGTTATTCCTCCTGTAACAGCCGCATCCTGCATCCTGATACTGAGAGGTGTGGAGCCATGGCCCAGTTCCCCCATCCAGGAATTTCAGGGAATCGTGATTTATTGCGTGCAGCACCAGCTTATAGACTGGATAATTTGAAAAGGAGTTTAGCACCATTTCCTTCCCTTAGAGCTCCTTGAGAAATGGGTGCACGTTAGCTGTGGTGGGGAGCCGGGTGAATGGTGAGACAAAAAGTTTTATTTGGGGCTGCTTATGTTGCATTGCCTGCCCTTCCTTAAAGGGTTTAGCTGGGGTACATTCAATATGGACATTATAATGTGAAAACACAATACCCATGACCTCCCTGAATTTATAGACAATCCAACAGAGATACTGAAAGCATGTGATTAGTGTAGTTGAGGGCTTGGAAACAGACACTGTGTGCTCATGTACTCCAGCAAAATATCTTTGAGTGCTACCTACCTATTCTCTGGAATTTCACTTGTCATTTAGAAAAATGAAAGTGGGTCAAGTCTCTCTCTGTTCTAATTGTGAAGAAAACTTCCAAAATGGGAACTATGTATAACAAATAAACAGTTCTCTGGAGAGGTGGGAGCGTAGCTCTAAAAGGTGTGTGAATTGCCCCAGTCATCTCAGCAAGGTGCTGACTTATTTGCTCAAGAGTAGTAATTTAAATGCCAATAATATTTGTTACGTTGTTCTTCATGTAAAAAAATCGAGAAAGATTCAAAGTACATGTACTTAGGTTGTGAATTGCCAATACCAGCAGAAGCTACTTGAACAATCAATCACCTGTATCTTTTTGGCTATCCCTAGGAACAGAAATCTTTTGGACATAAAAGCATTGAAGAATCTTATCTCTTTTTTTGTTCTTTGTTACATTTCAATATATTCAGGAGGTGATTTCATGTTGCTTCCATCTATCTATCCATCTATCTGTCTATCTATCCCCATTACAACCTCTCAGTGGCTTCTGAGCTTGGTGTGTTCCTGTGACTGCTGTTCCTCTGCCACAGGGTGCACACACAGGCACACACACATAAACAGACATAAAGGAAAAACATTGCTTGTGACTTATAAAAGCAGGCAACAACATGAATTCAGTTCTTCCCAGGACTATCCAGGTGTGGCGATGTGAAAACTGTCTTAGAGAGCAGGAGAAGGGACATCCTGTCTGTGCTTTGAACCTTCCCCTCTGGATTGCATTTCATTTTTATTTGCATGTATCTTTAAAACAGACAAACTTGATCCTTACACAAGAGCCTCCATATCTTGATTCATACCTGCAGGCAGACTGGTTTTCTTTTAATTAAGATATGTATTCCCTGGAAGACACAAATGAGTGTAATGGAAAACTAGCTTCATTTTTAACTAGGAAGAGAACAATGTCTCTACATAATCAATCAATCAATCAATCAATCAATCAATCTCTTATTTTTTTCCAGTGCACCGTTCATGCCAACATGCCTGAATGCTTTATGGTCATTAAATTAAATCAAAGAACACACCACAGAATGGACAAGGCCAGATCAATAAATCTTAAAACTGATTCAAACTTACCAAGGACTCTGCACAAGTAACCATGAAAGGAAGGATGACTCCAGTCAGAAGGGCATTTGTGTGGGCATAAAACTGAACCAAGACATAGGTGATACTAATTAGAAGACAGAAACATTTAAAGGAGCTGGTCATTTTTATAGCATCACCCAACTACCAACAGCATCGACCTGCAGCCCAATGTCTTAAGGGTATTTTTGGACTTCTGAGTGATGCACGAAAATAACCATAGTGGCAAGAACTTTTTGCAGCTGGCTGGAAAGCTGTACAGCTCCAGGTCACGTCCTGCCACGAACATGCCTAATTTTAGAGATTTGCCTATTTGTGACTTCCCCATTTGATTATTGCAGGGCACCATATTAAAGAAGGATGCAGTGCCCACCAGCTGGCATGAACCATTGTGTGGCTGTTCCGTCCTCACGGACCATCCCAGCAATTTGATCTTTGCAATGACTCCATACTGAACTTGGATCCAGTTGAAAGCCATCCATTAGTTTGGCAGAACATTTCTCCCTCCTTGCTGGAGAGGAGAGCTTTATGAAACTGCAATAGCCTTTATGAAACTGCCAATTAATGGGGAGCTTTGTGCATTTGGCTCACAGAAATATCCCAGCAGCTGTCATAACCTATGAAGGTTCATTCCCAAAGCGCATAAAATGACCACAGGCCTAACTACAGTCAAAACTAAATGCAAACCCCAGTTCTTCAACTTAAACTTCCCTCCCTCAATAATTTTGCGAGGCATGTGCTCCTTAGTCTGTGAATTGCATCAAAAGTATTGCCTAGAGGCAGAGGGTCAGAGGAGATTCCACATATGAAAAACAGGAGGCCCTCAAAAGGGTGCAACCTCAGTTGCTGAACAGACACCACAAATAGGATGGATAAAAGCCCACATGAGACTGGTATATGAGCAAGCAGAAGCTGACAGTTGCCCCTCAGGAATACAGTATAAAGCTTTCAGTTCTGCAGGAGACGTGATCTGAAAGTTTGCTTCCTGGGAGCAATCACACCTGAACTGTTGCGTGGTGCTGCGGTTGCATAATTTAATAGTTGTCATGTTTCATCCCAAGGTGAGTGTTGGTGGTGGTAGTATACATAAAAAATTTGTACGTCATTAGGGATAAAAGGGTCTATGCAAGAAGAGGTCAGACATTATCCTCATGACCAGCAGAGGAGGTCCATATTAAAACAAAGGAGGTGTTTGATTTTCTTTTGAACGTGGGCAGATGATTCAGACCCATGTGCCCTTCATGTGCTCTGTCTCTCCCCTTCCCATCTCCTTCCTTTTGAAACAGATTTAAGTCCATCTACTTTTATATTTTCAAACAAAACCCATAAAAGGGCCATAAATATCATGACTCGCTAAAATGAAAGCTGTTTTCTTCTTCTCCCAGGAGACTCCTGCCTGAGAGAGAGACAGAAAGAGTTCACCCCTTTGAAAATTTCCTCCTCTGTCGAAGTAAAGCTCATATCTAAAAGCAGCCTTCAAGGCTTTGTTCTTATCATCTTGACCTGGCTTTGTACTGGCTTCTCTCTGTATTGCTTGTGGAAGTGTGAAGGACGGGGCTAGGGGAAGGAGTTTTGGCTATCACTGGCAGAGCAAGGGTCATGCTTGGAAAGGGATTTCATTGTGGTTTCAGAAAATGTTATAAACTCAGCACACTGGCAAAAAGAATGAAGAAACTCATTCCCCTCCTGGATCAGACCAGTGATCCACCCCTTCTGTCTCTGATGTTGGCCAGAACCAGATGCATCTCAGAAGGTATAAAGGAAGTTTAAGTGGGTAATTATGGAATAACCTGCCCCGAGTAAAATTTTCTCCCCTTCTGGCCCAAAGCCCTCCTTCATCTCTCTCCTTGGTTAGAGTTCAACTCTATGCCCTGAAGCATGACGGCTTCTCTCCCTTCCAAACCGCTTTTCATCCTGGCCTGTCTCATGTAACTGCCTGTGACAGTGATGGGATGTATAGGTCTTGTCCATTGAGAGTCTGTGACAGATCACAGCCTTATTGGAAAGAGAGGCAGAGAGGCCGAAGAGAAGGTGAGGGAGGAGAGCATAAACTCAGATGAAATATCCATCAGGAAGATGGAAAGAAGAGTGAATGCCTGGGAAACTAATTGCTGCCTGCTGATCTGGGCTGTGGAGATAGCTTGCAAGTGAGCATTTTTGCTTTTCAGAGATTTCAGCCTGGAGCACACTAGGAAAGTCAACTCTTTGGGTTGAAAATACTGTTCATCAATACTTCCCCTTATATTTTTTTTTTAAAGCTGTAGAAGTATAAGAGTAGTCCTGAGAAAACTATTCTATTATATACTGACGGAGCTTTTTCTTCCACTGAAGTTCACTACTCATTTCTGAACAGGTATTGGTGTAATTTGGGCCTACTAGACATTGAACACCGATGAAAATCAGGCTGTTTTTCTGCTGCCCAAAAAGGGTTTAGGAACCCAAAGTCCGATATTCCTGTCTAGGTCCCTGTCCAGGTCTTACAGAGATAGCTGCTCATACTCCTGAGTTGAGCACAGAGCATATCCAAAAGTGTTTGTGGAGCTTTTGTGGGTTGGTTTGGTCATTGCACAGGCCATCAGCATTTGTGGGGCACAGTGCCAGATGCCCCAAGGTGAGGGTTAGAATTATCCGACACACTGAGACTTTTTAGACATTGTCAGCATTTTCTCTGGTGCCTTTACCACTGAAAGCATTAACAAAGTTCCAGGGAATGGTTAGTGTACTTTGTAGATGGATGCTTCCAGTAATACACAGGTTGAACAGCAGGTTTTATTTATCCAGGAGCTCAACAATTCCTAGGGAGAGGGAAAGAAGAGCTAGGTGTTTGATCATATCCAGGCCTCAATGATCATTAATTTCACTCCCACAGTATCCACAGTTTCCCATATTCCTTTCCCTCAAAAGTGTGGCAAAGTGATCTGGAGTTTTCCAAGTGATGGGTGTTGAAATCTCACCCCATCTCCTGGATACCACACTGAGGTGTTCAGAGCATCCTGCTGGTGTTGGCTGAGCACAGGAGACTGTTCATTAAGAAAAATGACTGTATCATTTATACTGAGAACAGCTGCAGTGAGCAGCTCAGTGCCAGTGTTCAAGGCTCTGTAATCTCCTGTTAGTTGCCACTTGCCATTAGATTTTTTTACTGGCCATAAAGGAGAATTGTAGGGGAAATGAGACGTGACAATGATTCGCTGTTCTTCCAGCTCCTTTATCAATTCAGTAACAGGACAAATTGCTCCAGAAGGTAATGGGTATTGTGGAATATTAACTATCTTGCTATGGGGTAAAGGAGCAGCTGTTTGCAACAGATTAGCAGTCAGAGATGCATTTGTAGGATGTAAACTCTGGGGCAGAAAGGGTGATGTCCCTATTTCCCATGTTCCCCACGACTGACCCTTCAATACATCCATACCCAATATATTAAGGGCACTTAAAAGTAAGGTCAGGTGGATTGTCTGTCCCTCAGACAGAATTAGTTTAGCCCTGACCAGTGGGTGGTTAGTGGATTTCCCATTAACTCCTGCAATAGAGACTAACTGCTTGCTGCCCTTTGTAAGTGTCCTTACCTCCCATCGATATCCGGGCTCCCGTGTCAATGAGGAATGTTCTAAAGCAGGAATGGATCATTAACTGTGACCAGGATCCTCAGCAGTGGGAGTAGCACCCACCCTGGTTTCCTGCACATCCGCAGTCTAGGTTTAGTGATGATAGTTTGGGTATATCCCTGAGCTCGCAGCCCTTGCATGCTCTGCCTCTCTAGTTATTATCCTTTCAAACCATACGGTGTCATCCCATCTCCAAATACAGGTCCCAGAGGGTTATCATGAGAAGTAAATGAGGAAAACCTGTCCAGCTGCCACAACAGGGAAGTTGGCAGCTCAGAGACAGCTGCTTCTCTAAACACATTTTCCATTGTCTTTTACGCTCAGTACTAACTGATGGTGTTCCTCAACTTACCCTTTTGCTCTTCTGCATTTACTTTAGCTGAGGTTATCCCTTGGTTTTTATCCTCTGGGATTTACAGTGGTAAATCTGCTAGCCCACACTGAAGGACCTCTTGGAAACTAATACCATTTAAGCCTGTCTTAATGGCTAACACTAAAGACTTCTACACCACCTCAGCTCCCATTATCATGGGTCAGAAGTGTACAGGCTCCCAAATCAACTCCCAGGGATGCAGTTCTGCTGGAAAGGGTTGTCCAGCCCCTGGAGCAAGGTGTGCTGCTCCTTCTAATTCAGCTGAAATCACAGGTTGCAGCAGGGCACTCTGCAGACTGGCTGCCAAGCCCTGGGAACACACATTTTTCCTGCCATGGGCAGTGCACAAAGTGCAAGTCCATGAGGGACTGGTAATATTTGACCCTGTGGTATCCAACATTATTCCTGGGCCTAATGCCAATGATCAAGCCTCAGCTGGGGCAAGGTGAAGCTCATTGGCTCTGGCTATCCAAATCCATGGTAGCCCATTCACAGGTGTTTTCCCTGGTTTAGCTCGATATCTCTCCCCCAGACCTCTGAACTTGAGGGCAGTAAACCCTGCCATGGTTCCTGTGGAGGGAGGTGACTTTTGTGCCCCTGTGGGAGTGCTGTGTTCAGTTTTGGTTAGTGCTGCTGAGAGCAGGGGGCAGGGAATCATCATCACCTGGCTTTGAGGGGAGGGGTGCAGGTCTGCTTGTTTCCAGATATCCCCCTCCCAGTCAGCATCGCACTTGGCACAATAGTCTTTAACTGGGTCTCCTGCAGTAGCTTCCAACAGCCTCCTCCTGCACTCCTCAGCTTCAGCAATTGTCTGGGGCTGAAGCTGGACTCAGGTGGTCTGTTTTGCATTTCTAACTGCTTACACTTCTGAAGTATTCTTTCCATTTTCCTTTTCTTGTTTTCCCTTTTCAGTTGTACATTTTCCCCTTTCAACTCATCAGTCACATCCACTGCTGCCCTCTGACAACTGCCTAGTAGTCAGCACGTTGCACTTTCCCCTTCTCCCTTCTTTACCTTACAAGAAAACTGCCATCTGGCAAACTCCTACCCAATACCATCAGCATCCGTGCAGTGGCTCTTGACCGCAGGACAAATCCTGCTTGGGATTTTGCCACTCCTCTTTCTCAAAGTCTTCTCCCAGTTGTTGCCACTCAGTGTCTGGTTTTTCGTGGCACAGACAAACAGACCCACAGAGACAGTGTCTTTACTCACACCAAACCAGCTGCTTTGGTGCTTGCCAGCAGAGCATGTCCAGGGGAGATCCCACTTGTGACACCAATAAAATGTCTGTTTGGATGTCTCAGTTTTCCAGGGAACCACCAGACAAAAGGTGAGAGCTGCAGGAGGCAGCGCTTTGCAGGTGACCATGGCTGCATAAAGGCCCTTTAGCTCTTCCTGGCCACCTCTCCTGCCTACCTGGTACTCTGGCTTTGACCTGATGACACTGCTCCCAGCACACATCAGGCCTCAGCATGGGCTGGGTTAGCCAAAACCTAAGCAGGAGTTGAGTGAACAGTCACAGAAAGGCCAGGGCCTCAGGCAAACAAAAATAAAAAAAATTAATAATAATAAAAAAGGTGTTAGTATTTATCAGGGAATGCAGTGATAGAAGCTGGGGTAACCATTTTAAAATGAAAGAGGGTAGATTTACTTCAGGTATTAGGAAGGAATTCTTTGCTGTGAGGGTGGTGAGGCCCTGGAACAGGTTGCCCAGAGAGGTTGTGGATTCCCCACCACTGGCAGTGTTCAAGGTCAGGCTGGATGGGGCTCTGAGCAACGTGGTCTAGTGGAAGGTGTCCCTGCCCACGGCGGGGGGTTTGAAACTAGATGGTGTTTATGGTCCTTTTCAACTCAAACCATTCTATGATTCTATGACAACTGTTTTCCTCTAATCCAATTACACAGTGCCACTGCCTCATATGTGTGGGGTGAAAAGAATATTATTTCACTGAACTGACCTTGTACATGTGTCTACAGCTTTGTCCGATGATGGTTACACACTAAAATAATACCTCATCTATGTGGCAAATCTCTCTTCTGTCCACAATTAAGTCCACTTTATAATTCCATTTTTTTGGCCATGTTTACAACAATATAGCTATTGCAAGCGTGTAGAAAATGTAAATAACTTGCCTGTTATTTTTCCCAGTCACCTTTCTCCTTGTCTCTCCTTCAGTTATGAATGCCTTGGAGAACAGATCATACTTGCTTAGTGCCTGAAAATTCCTTAGCTTTTAGGGGGAGCTACAGTAAATAAAAAAAAATTATGCTGAATTCTGTTTTCACTGAAACTAAAAAAGAAAGCCATGTTATAACCTGATTAGGTGTGATTATACTGTAAATAGGCCATAAACAGTCAAAGGGAAAATAACCCACAATATTCACATCATTGAGAGACTGAGGGGGTAATCGCTGTTCCTCCCTGCTGTTCAAAATATTTTCCAAGTGTCCCCAAAACTGCATTGGCAGCAGAATGTGGCCCAGTTCAAGGGCTTTAATGCTCCTGCTAAGTAGAAATGATTTTTCTCCTCGAAATTTTCAGTGAAATAGTCTGTATTTTGCAAAAAAAAAAAGAAATCATAGCTATTCACTGCAAAAGCACTAAGGAAAAGGCAGAGACCATCAGAAATCTTTCTGACAAGTCAGTTTCGTGTTTTAAAAGAGATTTGTCCAATTTAAGAAAAAGTACAAATGTTGAATTTCAGAAATAGGCACGTTCTATCTTAAGATGCCAAAGAATTTCAGTGTTGCTTGCTGAAGCTAATAGGGAGCATAACCTCCACTTTATGCGTGAGGAAACAAGAAGAGAAATTTACCTTCAGCTCATTTTTCCCCTTTTCCCCAAGAATTGTTACAGAGAACTGGCATTTTAAACTGGTGCTGTAGCTTACCTTTAAGACCACAAACCTTCTTCACAAGCAGCATGGCTACCTCTGCCTGTCGCAGAGCTACGGAAGAGCAGGGAGATGCAGGGAGATGCTGTGCTTTTCCTGCCCTTTGCAGCGAGAATCTTTTTCATCTTATATCCATGCTCACTCCACACTTTCAGATATTTCCCCTTCGTGACCTATTAGTTCTCAGCATCTTTTTGGGCTCAGTGATAGCTAAGGATATAGTTGTTTACTATTATTCCATTAATATCCAGAGGCCTTACCCAGCATCAGGACCCCACTGCAGTGTGTCCTGCTTGCAGCACAATTCTGGATGTTCTCACCCTAAAAGACTTGCAAGTTAAATGAATGAAACAGACCCAGGCTGGGAGAAAGAGTTTGCATCTGTCAGTGTGTTTGAGACCCAGAAACAGAGCCCAGCATCGTACGTGGGTACTGCAGCAGCAGAAGTCTGCGGAAAATTTCAAAATATAGGGCTAAATTCATCTTGCTAACAAAGTCGTTCTCCATGAGCAATCACTCAGCTCTCTGTGGCACAATTAAACACTCACTGGCCTCCAGAGAGCACAGGCACGACTCTCTAAACTGGTGATTAAGGCGTTTGCCTGTGAGGGGCAGACATACCTTTCAGGCCTTTTTCCAGAGAGTGTGCAATGTGAAAGAGTTAAGTGTTCATCGGTGCAGGCTTTTCCCCTCCCGAGTCATGGCTCCTGGCTGCTCACCTGCAAAGGTGTGCTGTGCCTTTCTGGCCCAAAGAATACTCAAATAACCAATTCAAAAGGAAATAGTTGATTTGGGACTCTTTAACAGAATAATCGACAGCACAGGGAAAGAGCCTGACACTTCCTTGGACTTAGATTCAGGTTCTCTCTATGAGTTAAAGCACTGTCTTCTGAACACTGAGTTACTGAGCTGAAAAAGGCCACTCTCTGATTTTTGTCACCTGCTGCTTATGGGCTCTGTCTTGTCCGTGGATAAGGTTGGTGTAAGAACCGAAGGTAACTTAGGTCTGTCAGCATAGGCTGGGGAGAAATTCTTCATTGCAGTTTCATGTTTATCCATTATAATCCAGTGTAATTGCAGACTGTCCCTAAAATATGCTGCACTGGATTTTGTAGGGCTTCCATCATCTTTTGGATCTGGGTCACGCTGATGGTACAGGTGGCTTCAAACATAAATACAGGCCATCGCATGGATGGGACGTACATTCCTGGCAAAACCGGCAGCTTTACTTATGTTTTTCTGTGTGAGAAATGATTCAGAAACAATCAGATTGGTTCTGGCTCGGTGTGGCAGATTGCACTCGAGCACACGGCAGCCTCCCGGCCAGCGGGGAGCTGGGCTAAATCACCCACTGGAAGTACGAGCCTGCTTTAGCATTTAGCACTTCCTTAGCATTTAACAGCAAAACCCAGCAGAAACATGGGTTTTATTTTTGCTTTGTCCTACTCCCTCTCCCAAGGCTCAAAAGATTGCAAATGCCTCTGGAGTATCAAAGCTTCAAATCCAGTGTAGCCTGGCTATTATTCCCTTCAGCCGTGAGCATGGCAGTTACGGGGATAGGATGAACGCTCCCCATCTGGATCATTTAAAATCTGTGTTTAGTATTAATTCTGTGGCTTTTTAACCTGACTCTCAGTCTGGAAAGCAGGCAGCTGTCAACACAGGGCGATGCAGTGCCCTGTGCTTCTGCTGGACTTGCACCTGCCCGTGGTAAGAGACCATCTTGTAAGATCAGTGTGCTTGCTGGAATGGGAGGGCTGGTGTGGCTTTGGGTGAGATTAGCTACTGGGCAGAAGAACCTGCTCTGAGGGAAAGGTCCTGCCAAGAATTATGCAGGCAGTGACAGGATTATAAAGATATTGCATGTGGCACATTACAGTGGACACACTAAGAGTCTTCCCGTTCCCTTATTCTATCATATGGACTGAGTTACACGCTGTGAAAACCACGTTCCTCGCACGAAGGAGCAGAATAAAATACTGTTTGGCTTAAATCTGTTCCTGCTTGGGAATGTCAATTAAATCTGTTCTCTTTCAAATTTCTTTTGTTCTGCCGCTTTTATCTTTGTGCAAATTTGCCTTGGTGACTCCTCTGTTGTCAGCCTGGTCCTGACAGATGAAAATCATGAACCCTTCTAACGTTACAAGCTGTAGGAACATGCACTTGGCTGAGGGTAACGTGGAGTTACAGAACCCCAACCAGAGTGTGCTGGTGCACTGGCTTCTCCTGCCCTCCTCTGTGCAATTATTTTGGGGAAAGTTCTGTAGGCCAGGGAAACTGTATTCATAACATCCACTATTTAAGCCTCTCACTCGGGCTCTCTCCTTGCAGCGAGAACTGACACACTGTCAAAGTTGACAGTGCTATGCCAGTTTATTGCACCAGAAGACCTGGCCTTTCCTTTCCTCCCAGCTCCTGATCTCGGCTGCTCCCATTATGTGAACCCTGTCTCAGTCCTGCCCTTAATAAAATCTCCATGCTCCATATGCTCCCTCAGCCTCCCTTTGATTAGTGCTCCCAGAGTCTTCCTCGCTGCTGACGTCGGGGGCATGCACAGCTCTGTAATTTCCCGACAGCCCTTTTCAAACACTGGCTTTTAATCATGAGCTGTTTTACCAGCACTTCCTTCTCTCACGGCGCGCCTTTGAAGCGAGGCCGCCAACAGTGGTGGGGTTCCTTCCCCGCTGCCCTTTTTTGTTGTTTCCATACAGGATTCTAGGACAGAATTTCATAGCTTTTTAAATGCTCTGATTTTTTTTTTTTTTTTTTTTTTTTCTGTGCTGTGATCCTAATTTCCTTCAGGATTTCTTCTTCATCTCCTGGGAAATTTGTCTCTATTTCTGGCATCTGTCCTTCCTAACCCTTCCCACGTTTCTCCCCTTCCAAAGACAGGGGAAAAGAATCCATTTAATATTTTTCTGTAGTAACGTCTATCTCATCTGTCAATAAATTACCCTTTGCCATCTCTGGGAGACCCCTTTGTCTCCCTTCACTGACCTTATTCTGTACCTTGCCTGTTTTTTTTTTAAGGGAGGATGCAATATCCCTGGGCTGTCATTCCATGAAGAACAGCTGTCATTCCTCCCATAGTGCATGCGTATGTGTTTGAGGAAGGAGGGGAAAGGGAGGGGGGAATTAGGGGAGGACGGGGATCTGCTATTGGGAAATATGGTCCTATTCACAGTGGTAAATGTTTTTGCATTCATGATATTCAGCTGCAATTCTGTCTTTTTCTTCCCGTGGTTTTAGACATTCATTTCCAGATTAACGGAAATCTTAACACTCACCTATCTGAAATGTAACTACAAGAATATTTATTAAACATATTTTTAAAACTTATTATGTATGCGTTTTATAAATTTCTAATTTCTTCATGGTCTCTGCTGCTGTGAATGCTATCTCACTGAGAGAGCTGCAGCCTAATGCTAAGAGGTGGATTCAGGAAGCATTATCTGTTGCTAAAAAACATATGACTTCCATATATTTTCAGCATTACAGACTGAAATGCTCACTGAGAGGGTTGGAGAGCATGGTATAGTCCTGCATGTCGCTAGCTGGCTGTGCAGACTTGCAGAGGGAAGAGGCAGGTCCATGAATCCAGCAGTTCCTGCCCTGTCCACACTGTTCCTTACGCTTTGTGAAGCACTGCAGACTCCCAGAGAAGTCCTCGCGGAGCGCTCCCTGTGTTTCTCGTGGTCCGGCGGCTTTGTGCTGGTCACACGTAGCACAAGTAACGTTCCTTTCTTCCTGCCCCTGCTCCCACACACAGTCTGACCATAAATTAATACAGCTCAGAAAAGCAA